GGCCCACGAAAGCTCATCATCTAATAAACCATCTTGTTAGTCTTTAAAGTGCTACATTGTCCTGCATTTTGCTTCAGCTACCCCAGACTAACACGGCTACATTTCTATCACTATTCTGAATTAGGAGGGAATTCTTAATTTTTCAATTCCAATTTTTCATGCCCTAATAAATCTGTTAGCCTGTAAAGTGCAATAGCACTCCTCGTTATTTCTGTAGTAGTGTAGACATAGACAAAGATACAAAATAAGACTGTCACAGCCCTGAAAAACAAGAATTCCAATGGAGTGGAGACAACAAGATGGATACACTGGGAAGCCTAGAGGCAGGGATAACTTAGAAGTAGTTTGGTTTTGTTAATTGGTTTGGTTGAGTTCTTTGTGGTCATTGCCAAGTAGATGAGGATAGCGACACTACTTACCTTTCTCAAAATGGGCAACCAAAAGTGCTGGTCACGTTTCTCTGCAGAGCTTCCTGTTCTTCCTTTTTCAACATTGACTTATATTCTGGCTTAAGCACAGAACCAGTTGCATCTTGAAACATACCTGATAAAGTGCACGGACATCTGTGTCAAATTAGTGAGAGAGCACAACAGAGGAGCATGAAAAGGCCTAAAATGTGGTGCCTAAGTAGAACTAAAAATTTGTCAATTAAGAGAGCCTGATCCAGTTTTCACTGAAGCCAGCAGAAAGACACCTTAGAATACTTTCTAAGATACTATTTGGGGACTCAAGGGGTGGTCGACTGAGTCCCCAAACAGTATCTTAGGAAGTATTCTGAAGTGTTTTAAAACCACATCTGCGTTTGAGTTCACCACCACTTATTGGTGGGTTTGACACTTACATAAAAGAAGTCTGGGGGTTAGTGACACAACAACTGCATCAGCAAAATGTGGCTAAATGATGGCAGGTATGTTCACTGACTAATTAAAGACTACTGAATAGTCCCTACATTTAATAACTATAAACCATGGACTTCTTTCCCTTTTCAGTTCATGCCACCATTTTTCAATTGACTATTCCGAGTGATATAACTGCAAAAGACTTAGTCACTCACAAGTGCTAAAGATCCCTTTGAATTGCCTCATGCATATTATAAATACTTAAATTAACATGTCAGTAGCTGGCATCCTCATACCCTGTAATTAAGCCTGGTGTTTCTGAGGAAATATGTTGGATACAGCAAGTCCTTGTTTTTAGCACTGTTCCTAAGCTCCCTGAAGAGTGTTGTTCTACTACATTGTGACGACATCAGCATGTAGACAAACTCGTACATTGATAATAATCTATTTGTCTTTTTAGCTTGACGCCAACAGTGATTAAGACCCAGCTGCAATTAATTCGGTCATAGATCAATAATTAGATAAGTTCGTGTACTCATGCAGAGATCACAATTTCAGCGTAGCTAGCCATCACTGTCAGTTAATGAAGGTTTTCTGATTACTGCAGTAACAGATGAAGTGGTGGGGGAGGGTAACTATGCTCTGTGGAATTAAAAATCACCCCATGTATAGGTGTTGTGCTGACCCTTTCCATTTGGGGCAATCTCATCCCGGAGGCACTGCGGTTTAGTATTGTTTTTCTCACCCTTATTTTCTGCATGAATAAGGACGCCCTGGCTGTGTCTGCTCACAGATATGCCTCGCCACATGTTCTTACATTCTGCTGTCACTGTGTTTCCAGTCACTGTTAAAATACACTGAGCTAGGAGCAGGAATTGAAAGCCATTAAACACTGAAATAAATTTTAGAAGCTGTGAGAAATGGCAGCTTTTAGTTCTATTTTTGGTGCTACGAAGGAAAATTTTCTTCCCATCTTTTTCTGTGAAGTTGTAAGATCAGACTTATGTCAAAAGGGAAGCACATCAATTAGCATTTTCTCTAAAGACAGAGTAAAAACAAAGTGAGGACTTTCAATTTTGATTCACTGTTAATTATTATAATACTGCTAAAAAGAGAATATGTTTGTCATACCCAAATACAAAACAATTTACACCATCTTTCAATCACTAATGTAGGGTACAGTGATGCAGGGCTCAACACTGAGACACCCCATGTACAACTATCACCCTAAACACGGTATGTTTCAATTTATCATTATCCTTAGACATAGACCTTCGTTCAGTTTTTAATATGTAGAAGCGTTCCTCGCCAAAGCAGTTTGGAATGAATTTTGAGTCAGTTTGTGAATAGTTAAAAGCTTTATTAAATCCAGATATGTTATAGCTATTACATTCACTTTGTGCCTTGAGATCCCAGTCCTATGTGGTGCTGACTGCTCTGTACTCCACATGGGCCTGGGGACCAAGGCACAGGAACGGGACCTGAAAAAACCTGTGGCTGAGTTAGAAATAAACCTCAATCTATCAAATGATTTTGCTTATCTGTGCCTCAATAAAATGGGAATCATATAACGCTTCCTGGTTCACAGGTCATTCTCAAGCATATTCATTAACGTCTGGGAAATGCTCAGATACTTCAGTTACAAGGAAATAGAAAATAAAATTAGAGTCGGGTTGAAATGAGAGTAATCAGCACTGCACAGGATTTGGCTCTTAAGTAGAAAGACCAGACCTGCCGGACAGCGTTTGTTCTTTATAAGTTAGTAATACTTATGGCTCAGAGTGCTATTGGCCGAGATATTTATCAATTTTTCATACATGGTTCTTCCTTCACGTTACTAGAAATTAATATAGGTTTGCAGAATTAGTTCATGAGAAATGTTCATATCTTGACATGAAAGCATGACAGGCTGTGGGGAGCTATCTCCAAAAGTCTCTTGCTATTTGATTATATCATGTCATAAGCATGCCCCAGTGCTTTTCTGAAGTAACTCCACCAGCCTCAGCCATTCCAAATGTATAGTACTGGTCAGACAGAATCTGCCACCGCCAGCACTACAGGAATGAGGATGTTCAATTCCTGTGTACATTAGTCCTTTGGCTTTGTCTACTTATGTGCACCAGTTGTACAGCACTTACATGAGGCAGACAATAGTCTACTAGAAGTTTCATCACCAACTGGATTGATGAAACTCATGAAACTGACATCACAGAATAGCACTTACCAATCAACAATGGAGCTCAACTGGTCACCAAGAGTTGCAAGACTCCATGTCTCGTCACCAGTCAACTGACGCATACAGTACCACGATTTCACAGGCAACTTTTAATAGAAATCCTACAGGCTAAAGATATATTACCCTAAGGAGCAGTCAGCTTTGTCTATGGCTGTGAACCCTGGACTCTGCCTGAGCCAAGGCAGGTCACTTCACATGGGTTTCAAGTGTTTGTCCCTACAACTTTCAGTCTGTATTTTCATAAAGCTTCATTACTCAGCCTGGGTGGAGAAATGAAGTATACAATGAGGATACACCCTGACTATTGAGATTGCCCAAGAAGGGTGTCATTGTATGGCCTGCTCATCTTGACCGGGCTGAGATCTACCTGTGTTATTTTTGTATTTATCCAAATGGTCTCAACTCTCTGTTTTCAAGTTAGTTACAAACTGTAACTGAGTGGGAGCTGCATTGTCCACAAGAAGGGCTCATTCACCAGTGTCTCATTTGATACATCAGTTTAGAGCCACTATATGAAAAGCTGTAGACCCCTAGACGTGGGCATCTGAGCAGCACTGAACTGATTTGATTTCAGCTACGTTTTATATTTTCCCATGTCTGTCTCTTCACTTTGTGGACCCCAGATACATTAGGAAAAAAAATTGTACATTCAAGCTTCACGGGGAAATATAATGAATTCCATGGCACAATAGAGTGCTGACTTACGATGCTCCCTGCTGCTGTATTCATTACAAGAACAGTTTGCATTAGGATTTAGATTTGATTTGGCACTCTGTCATGTGCATGCATGGAAACAGAATTATACTGAGGATCATATTGCAGCTGCAAGAGGAAAGGACATTCTGCTAGGCAATAATCTGAAGTAGCAACAGACTGTGAAACAGCAGCACAGTGTGATGAAAGTTATAGGGATGTACAAAAAGACCATATTGACTGGTCTATTACATGTTGTAGCACAGTTCACCATGCTGTCCATTACTGCAGGTAGGTGAGATGCATGTTACTCTTAACTGTATAAGACATTGTAGTACATAACAAGGCAACAAAGAATTGTGGTCCAGATTAGCTATGTCAACTGAGAATAAGGTAAGGATAACTGGAGCGCTTTAAATGGTGTCAGGACACTGACTACTTTCCTTGGGGAAACAGTCTTATTCATGGCATGAATGAAATTTCTAGTGAACTTGTCAGAGAAGGAAGTTTCATAATTTGGCAAGAAAAATACTGTAATGACTTTGTGTACTTGGAAGCAAGATACAACGCCAATGTTCCGATGCTTAAAACATTCACCCATGATAAAGAATTAGGTGGTAAATCCACTTACCAAAAAGAGGAAATAAGAGTACATTAGGTCCCTCTTTATAAAAAGTCTACAGTAAATAGAAATAGAAACGGACACTAACTTTGACAAATCATGCTGGGGAATCAAAACCAACCAGAATATAATTTTTATGAAAAGAACTTTCACATTCAAGAATAATTATATATTAAAACCAAATACACAGTGTATGTTGGAACTTTTAAAGTTAATCTTGAAGGCTGCGTCTAGCCTGGCAAGTTTTTCCGCAAAAGCAGTTGCTTTTGCAGAAAAACTTGCCAGCTGTCTACACTGGCCACTTGAATTTGCACAAGAATACTGATGATCTAATGTAAGATTTTCAGTGTTCTTGAACAAATACTATGATGCTCCCACTCAGGGATAAGCCCTCTTGCGTAAATGCTTTTGCGCAAGAGGGCCAGTGTAGACAGAGGAGGACTGTTTTGCGCAAATAAGCCCCGATGGCGAAAATGGCGAACAACCCCGCGTCTAGATTGGCACGGATGCTTTTCCACAAAAAGTGCTTTTGCGCAAAAGCATCCGTGCCAATCTAGACGCTCGTTTCGGCAAATGCTTTTAACGGTAAAACTTTTCCGTTAAAAGCATTAGCAGAAAATCATGCCAGTCTAGACGCAGCCGAAGAGTCATGCATAAACATAACTCTTATCAGGGCTGACCAGACTTGTTTTGCCTAATTTCAAACTAACTCAAGCAACACGAATACAAAAGTTAAACTCAGATGCTATTGGGGGGGGTCATATTTAACTTAGGAAAAAGAGTGAATACAGAGTAGAGAGGAACAAGTCCACTGAAAAATAGTATACCATGTGTAATAGTGAAAAGGCAGAAAGATTCTATTAAAATAGCTTAAGTATGGAAGGAATACATCAATAAAATGTCATGTATAGGGAACTTATATAAGTCAGCCTACATTTTGAAAGGATTCGATTATTTTGAATCTATAGCATAGCACTTCATATAATTGAACTAAAAAAATGGGATCACTGTAGAAAAAGTAAGGAAAAAGAGGCTTAGAAATCAGACTAGTTTCACTAACTTCTAAAAACAACAATGAATAAATCAATTTAATTATTTCCATTTCAGCTTATGAATCTGATACATGTTTCTACAGTAGTGTTGTTTATCTTTTGAAGAATACAGTGCAAAATCAAAAGGAAAAAGATCTAGAACGAGAATTTCATAAAAACTCTGCAGCACAAGGTCATATTTATGCAAAGAAGGCATGACAGAATACAGCCACAGCCAACAGAAAGATACCATTCATGTTCATAACTTTTCTCCAGAATGGCTCCTCAGACGTGTCAGTCAGTTTCTTCTGTATTGCTTCCTGCTCCTCTTTGCTCAGTTTGGGCTCTTTTTGCTGATCGAAGCCACAGAACCAGTTGTAGGCCTTCTTCAACCAGCCTTGTTCTTCATCTCCTTCTGTGACCGAGAGAAAGCACAGTGAGCTCAGACTCCAGCCACATGTTGTAAGAAGGTGCCGAGGAGAGTCGTGCAGCCCTGCCTCCTGAAGCCAGCAGGCACTAGCACAGAGGTGGGCAATAAAACGGCAGCGGTGCACTAGGGTTAGCCCCTGGTAGGCTGCTGCCGCTATATTTACCTGAATGTCCACAGGCAGGGGCAATCACAGCTCCCAATGGCCAGGAAAAGCCATCTGCAGCCAACGGGAGCTGTGATCCCTGTACCTGTGGAGGTGCAGATAAATACGGTGGTAATGGGGCCTGCCAACAGCTAACCCTGGTGGACTGGATCTGGCTCACGGGCCGGTATTTGCCCACCCCTGCACTAGCACCATCCTCCTGCAGGCATTACTAGGCAAATTTCTCCAGCTCTAGCTCCGCTGTGCTGGGCGCGCATACTTCTTATGTGGAATATGTGTCTGCAGCATCTACTTGAAGAAAAACAGTTTGTTCCCAGTTCTCAATGATTTAGCTGTAACTGCTGGTAGCTCACAAATGCTAAGACTCACTAAGCTGATTCAAGCCCCTTATAAATACTTCAATATCCATGATTTTGTGACAGGATTGAAAAGTGCTGGGTACACTGCAATTGCCAGATCTCATGCCCTCGCCCTCTCCTACTACACTTCCTGTTGCTTTGTGCCACATGAGAGCTGGGGACACAGGAGGAGGACCACAGGGAGCCATTAGCATCAGGGGCAGCCACAGTTACTTTTCTTCCTCAATATGCCTTGCTCCCTCTGCCTCTTATACCAAGTGAGGTGAGAGCAGGAGCTCTGCACAGGAGGCAGTTTCCATTTTCTGCAGGCAAAGAGATCCCTTCTGGATTTCCATCAGCTATTTCTTTTCTGACTGAAGGCAGTTTTGTCCTGCATTAACATGGTGCACAGAAGCCATAGCAGGCTAGAATCTCCGGCCCTGACTCTTCAGCCTAAAACTGAGAAGCAACTCTGAGTGCAGGTTTCTCTCTACTTATTCACTATGGGTTTGTATTTTTTCTTTTTATTGAATGGCTGAATTCAGTGACACCTGGTATCAAAGCCTGGATCCAGGCAGAGTTTTGTGCAAGTTTCCCCAAAGCAGTTCTGGGAAAGTATCTGTACCCTGCTGTGCACCACCTTTGCTGTTGCAATCCTGACCCCTACACACCCATTTCCAGTTGTGTCTTCATTCTGTCCTTTCAGATGTAAGGCCCCCCAGAGGAGAAAGTAAGCCAATACACCCCAGTGCAGCACTTCGGGGAGCAGCTGGCCAGCTGGGTCACTCAGCTGTGGTGGGAGGATAGGGTGCTCCCAGTCTGGCTCCCAGCTTCCTGCAGGCTGCCGTGCTCTGCAACAGGCATTTGGGCAGGTTAGATGCGCTGACTGGGGGCGTCCCCCACTCCAGGACTGTCCTAGCACTAAGCTTCTTCTCCCTCCACAGCTATTTTGAGTACTTGTGGGGGGCTGCAGCTGCACATATGGGTCTGCCCCTCCCCTGGACAGCCAGGAGCGAGAGGAATGCAGAAGGCTCTGCACTTTCCCCTTGCTCCCTAGTCACAGGAAGCAGGAAAAATCAATACACATTATAGTAGGGTCACCAATGTAGTAGGTCAGGATGTAGACAGGTCACCAATGTAGACAGGTCTCCTGCCTGCATGTGTGCTCAACGATGTGTGTCGTGTTAACTTGCGCAATTAATCACCACAGCAGACCCTGAGAGAGCCTCCAAAGACCACAAACCAGATAAGAATCGAAGGTGCCCAGCCAGGTTTATTGTAGAGCGAAGTATAGTCATAGTTGTCAATAGACACTACTGAACCATTGCACGCATCAGTTACTTAGATCTGACTCTACTTAGATACAGCCCATCGCTCTGTACCTTGTGGTTTGATTAGATCGTCTCTATCCATCATATTGTCATTTTAGACCCTTTCCTGAACCTGGGTCTATGACTGTGGGGAGTGTGGGTACCACGGTCTTTTTTAATGACCTGCTGGTACCATGTGCTTTCAACTTACGACTGTTCTGCACCTGGGCTTATTACCAATTATTGTTTTGGACTCTCAGCCCTGTTAATGCCAAGTTCTGTGAGCTGGGTCTGCCTCTTGCTCACAGCTTAGCTTTCCTTTATATTAGCCAAGCGTTGTCCATTGTTAGCTCAGCCTCAAACCAGGCCTGTGCTACATGGGCTTTGTTTCAGGCCTTCTTCTTAGTATATACATGGAATCAGTATGTGTGCCTGCAGCCCATCCCCCTCCCTCCTGAATTAGCACTCCTGCCCTCTCCCCCACACTCACCCTTACACACACACAGCCCCCTGGCCTGACTCCCCACACAACCCCTCCTCATACCTCTCTGCCCTGACTCCTTCATCCCCCACACTCCCAATCCTCTGTCTTGAGTCCCTCTTACACCCAAACCCTATGCCCTGAGGCCTTCATACACCCCAGCCGTGATTCCTGCACCCCCACAACCCAAGCCCCCTCCCCTAACTCCTGTACCTCCCCCCCACTCTAACCCTCTGCCCTGAGTTCCCCCATACTCCACCCCACACTTAAATTTCTTAGATACTGAGGTATCACAACCCCCCTCCTTCCCTAAGATTTCTTCAAGAGCAGCAAGATGTGATAGGAAGAAATTGATGTTACTTTCACCCCTGAAACCCACACACATCTCTGCCAACACACCAGACCCCCACCACCCTCTTTGTTTTAGCGCTGTGCCTCTCACCTGATTGCATGAAGGCTTTTGTGCTATGCACAAAAATCAACAGGGAACTAGATTGCCATCATGTAATTCATTTCACTTCCAGGCCTCACAGACTGACAGTGGTGAAAAAATAGTGTATTAACTCTCTGCACATACTAGCCCTTCAGGATCTGTTTTCAGCACTTCCTTGTTTCTTCAGGAACTAAGTTGGAGACTTCAAATACATTCATGACCTGTACAAAACTTAGCAGGAGTTTATTCAGAAATCACCTGATTCATCTTCTTTACTCTCCGGTTCCTCCATCCTCTCATCTGCATCCAGGTCAATGCGCTGCTCCTTGCTGTTCCGCAGGGTCCAGCACAAGCCATAGAGCTGTCATGAAACACAAGTACAAAGCCTCAGCCTTCAAACACTGAGCCAAGCAATGAGATTGGGGTAGGATTCAGGAGTCATGAACATTTGCTGCATACTCTGCAGGGATTGCTAAGGATCCCACAAGAGCAGGGAGGTACAGTAGGGCTACGTCTAGACTACATCCCTCTGTCGACAGAGGGATGCAAATGAAGCACTTCAAAAGTGCAAAGGAAGCTGGGATTTAAATATCCCATGCTTCATTTGCATAATCACGTAATGGTGCTCTTTCGTAAAAGCTCTATTTCAAAATCGAAACCACAGTCTAGACGCAGTTCTTTAGAAAATGGGGAGCTTTTTTGAAAGAGCCTGTAGACCTCAAAAAGGCTACATCTAGACTACAAGCCTCTTTCGAAAGAGAGCATCTAGACTGCAACCACTTCTTTTGAAAAAGCGAGCTGCTTTTTTAAAAGACAGCACCCAGGCAGTCTGGATGCTCTCTCTCGAAAAAGCCCTGTTTGCATGCACGAAGAACACCTTTTTTTGAAAGAGCACTTTTGAAAAAAGGTGTTCTTCCTCGTAAAATGAAGTTTACCACCGTTTTTTCTATTTAATTTCGAAAGAACTCACGGCCAGTCTAGATGCAGGGGAAGTTTTTTTCAAAAAAAAAAAACCCTGTAGTCTAGACACATCCAAAATGAGGTTTACAGGATCTTTCAAAAAAACACCCCGTTTTCAAAAGAACTGCGTCTAGACTGTGGTTCCAATTTCGAAAGAGCTCTTTTTTGAAAGAGTGCCATTATGTGATTATGCAAATGAAGCATGGGATATTTAAATCCCAGCTTCATTTGCACTTTCAAAGTGCTTTATTTACATCCCTCCGCTGACAGAGGGATGTAGTCTAGACACACCTGTACAAGACTATAACTGTTTCCCTTCCTAAACAACAGCATTCCTGAAATCTTCACTATGCTACAGAAAATGCACAGTCTACTGTTCGTAGCTCTGAGGGGTTAAATGCCAGTATCATTTCACATTTTTGCAATATAGAATGTCTTCAAGGTATTTCTGATTGCAGAAGAATCTCCAGAGCACTGTTTATCCAGCAAAGAGCACTACATTCCCAGGGATATCGTAAACAAGGAATCCTTTAGAGAAGATGTAAAACTTCCCTCTACAGGGCCATCTCTAGGAGTGTGCAAGACCCGGGACAACCCCCAATCTGCCACAGACCCTGCCCCACTCTGCTCTTTCCACCCCTGCTCTTCCCCAAGCCCTGCCACTTCTCTGTGCCTTTCCCAAGCCCCAGGCTCCTCCCAGAAATCCCCCAGGCTGCCCAGGATCCCCAAAGAGTGGGGCCTGGGGTAGCTGGCCCAAACCGTCCTATGGATTGCATGTCTCTGTCTATCAGAACCCAAGTAACTGGGAGACCCAATAAGAGATGCATGCTCTAAATTCTAGGGTTGAATATGTGTATTCATATTTTAAAAGTATAAATTAAAGTGATAAGTTTCATAGCGCTCCGCTATCTCAAGGACCAAGTGTGGGAATAAAAGAACAGAAGAGACAATGATACTCACATGTACATCGGGAATGGGTTCAGTTATGAGCGAGATAACCAGGATGATGATGGCAGAGATCCCAAAGAGGATTATAGCGAAGTACAGGTAGTGGACTCCACAAATGATCTTTGGACAGCTGGTGGGGTTTACACAGCTGCCAGAACCATAGGCAAACTCTGCAATCATTCGAACCAGTCCAACTACCAGACCAGAGAACAAGCCCCAGAAAGCACCCTACAAAAGAAAGAAAGCGACAGGATGAATGATCACAAAGAGCCATTGAAGATACAGAAATACACTACTCTCTTTTAATAGCCATGCAATCTGTAGGGCTCTACCAAATTCATGGCCATGAAAAATGCATCGCGGAGTGTGAAATCTGGTCTTTTGCATGCTCGTACCCTGTGTAGTACAGATTTCACAGGGGAAAGGGGAGGACTAGTGTTTCTCAAATGGGGGCCTGACCCAAAAGGGAGTTGTGAGGGGATCACAAGGTTATTTTGTGGGACCATGCTGGTAGCAGCTCTGCCTTCAGAGCTGGGATCCCAGCAGTAGCCACCATTCTACAGATGCTTGGCTCTGTGGGCAGCGCTGCCACCTCCATGTGAACAGAAGCCAGGGGAGCAATACTGCCCCCTGCCCCCACACTAACCTTGCGACACCCGCGTAAAATATGGCCGCTCGCCCTTCCTAACTGTTCTTCGAGATGTGTCATTCATGTCCATTCCAATCAGGTGTTTGTGTGTGTGCATGTGCACAGTAGCCAGAAGATTTTTACCATAGTACCTAAGAATATGGTCGGTCTGGGCACCCCGTGGAGTGACGACAATATGGCACCTAATATAAGGCCCTGCCAACTCTCCCCTTCTCAGTTCCGTCTCGCTGACTTGTCTGACAGAGGGGAAGGAGCCAAATGACGAAATAAGCTCTTTCAAAATACACTCGAAATAAGCTACACAATTTGTGTAGTTCTAATTGCATAGCTTATTTTGAGCTAAGATTGCAGTGTAGATGCACCCTCAGGCATTAATAACCTTCTTTATTAAGCCCCTTTGGGCATTGTTTCATCTGTCTGTCTCCTATACAGACTAAATGAAGGGACAGGTGATTTCTGGGCAAATTTCTGGGTTTCCATTGATAACTTCCTGCATTCCATCTGCATACAAAGTAGCTAAGACCCTGCCACCCCAATGACTGTGGGCTCATCTGGTGACGGCCCAAGTGATGTCAGTCGCATTGATCAGTGATGATTCAATGCTGAACGTTTGCAGCACTGCTACCTGGTCTTCTATACATACTGTTACCGAGGGTTATGCAATTGCCTCTTCATCTATGTCAGATGGATGGCAGCCCAGCTATTACTCTTTAAATATATTCCAAGTTCAACCTCCTATGATTTCTGCTTGTGAGTCACCTGAGTGGAATACATGTCTACGATCATTCGAAGAAGAATACATGCTTATCTGTGCTGTGACTTGTTCTTTGGTGTGGGGGAGGGAAATGCATATCGGATGACCGGCCTTCTGTCCCCTCTATATCAAAGTCTCTATCTTTGATATCCTTTGTGACGAAATTGTGGGCAGACTGGGGCAGCACCACCCTAAGGGTACTGTGAGGCATGCCCAGATTTAGTGCACTGGGCATGTATATGCACACCTGGATGCAATATATGTACACCCCCATCTTGAAGAACAATAGTTACAATCCAGACCAATAAACATCTTCCCCTGCTTTGACATTTGTCAATAAAACTTATAAGTATGCCCTGCCCCAGCTCGTAGGTAATGTCTTTGGCCTGTGTTATGCAGATTGGATGATCATAAAGGTCCTTTCTGACTTTACTTAAGAAAACAATAAAATCCTCTGCCCTACAGCACAGCTCACACTGAAGTTGTTTTGAACTCTGCAAAATGTCAGATGAGCACTTAGCATTATCTGAACCAAAACTTTTGAACCTTCAGAGCACTGTCGTTCTTAGCTGTTTGTTTACTCTGTCACTCTCTATTCTGAATGTCATGCACCACATAAACTAAATATACAGAGCCAAATTTGTTTCTGAAGTAAATAGATGTAGCCTTATTGACCTGAGAGGAATTGCAAACACTTAGACCAGCTGTGAATTTGGTCAGTAGGCTAAAAAATAGATAACTAATGATGGTGGTACAGAACTACAGCCAGTCCCCGAGTTGCAAATGGTCGACTTACGACCGTTTGCAGTTATGACCAAAAGTGTCGTAAATGGTGGACCCCGAGTTACGAACACGATCCGCGCTTACGAACAGCGTGGTCGTGTGTAACTCTATGGGATCCAACTTATGAACAAATCGAGTTATGACCAATTGCTTGGTCTGTAACCAGTTCGTAAGTCGGAGACAGGCTGTATAAATTCTGCTGGAAATTTTCTAGTTCAAATGAAATTTTTAAACCATTATTAAATTGTCAGGGACAAATCACAGAGAAATATTGGAACAAATAAACAGAACCTCAGTTTATGATGATAATAATTTTAATGAAAAGTTTAATCTTGGATATTAAATAAAAACTGGTCTTTGATTCAGATAGTGCTTCAAATCACTGTGACTTGTATTTGTTTCCAGTCTTTATTCTAATTAAGACTGTGCTTTTAGCCAAATGCTGAGAGTCTTAGTAGCTCTTAATCCATTCTTAGGCAAAATTCCAATTGAAATCAATGGAAGACTTCCCTGAATAAGGACCTCAGGATTTAAGCCATTAATTTGAGGTTCAGCCAAGCAGTGACGAAATGGAACATCCCTGCATAAGTGCTAGTAGTAGATTCATCAATCTCCAGAGGAAGCAGAGTTTTAGAATGGAGTCAAAGTAAGAAAGGGTTACTTACCTCATGACTGTTGTTCTTCGCGATGGGTTGCTCATGTCCAGTCTAGGTAGGTGTGCGTGCACCACATGCACAGACACCAGAGCTTTTTTCCCTTAGCAGTATCCGGTGGGCCTGCCAGGCAGCTCCCTGGAGTGGTGCTGCTATATTGGCCCATACATACTCCTTCACCCCCTCAGTTCCTTCTTGCCGGAATCCTCCGGCAAAGGCGAGGCGGGTGGCATGTGGAATGGACATGAGCAACACATCTGGAAGAACAACAATTATGAGGTAAGTAACCGTTTCTTCTTCTTCAAGTGCTTGCTCAGGTCCATTCCAGTCTGGTGATTCCCAAGCAATACCTCAGGAGGTGGGGTCAGAAACCTCATGGACTGAAACACATCCCTACCAATGGCCACATCATCTCTGGCCTGCTGCGCAATAGCATAATGGCTTGTGAAGGTATGTATAGAGTAGGCACATGCACAGTGAAGGCTGTTAATGAGGCCTGTGCCCTCGTGGAGTGGGCCGTAAATGGGGGTCATAGCAGGCTCTAATGCAGGATGTGATCCAAGAGGACAAAAACTATGCCAATATTGGGAGGTCCTTTATCCTCTCAGCTATGGAAATAAAGAGTCGTGATGACCTACGGAACTCTCTTGTCCTATCTATATAAAAATCTTAGTAGATGGCTTCCTCCTCTCCAACACGATCCTCCTCACAGCTTGGGAACAGAGGTGTTCAGCCCCTGCTAACCACAAACGTTCTATCCCACACGGTGGAGGGATGACAGATTCAGGAGGCATAACTACTCCTCCCCTAGGTCCTAAGTAATTAGGTCTGGTGCTAACAGCAGCATCACTGGTTCTTCTACCATTAGGTCCAGCAGGGCAGGGAACCAGTGTTGGCGAGGCCACGCCAGTGTTACCATGATCACTGAAGCCTTGAGCCTCCTGACCTGGGTGGGAGTGGGGGGACCTTGCGTATTAAGGGAAACCTTTTGTATAGGAGTTGCTGGGCCACTACACTTGTAAAGCGTCCCCTTGAAATCTCCGACCCTGGCCTAGATAAGAGCAGTAGCTCAGGCTTTTGCTGTTCTCCTGGGAAGCCAACTGGTCCAGATGGGGATAACCCCATCTCTGGAAGATATCTCCCAGAATGTCCCTCATGATGGCCCACTCGTGGGCCCTGAATGACCTGCTGAGTCTGTCCGCTAAGACATTTTGTTTCCCATTTGGATATCATGGGCAATGCAGAAATCCCAGAGAAGCAGGGCTTCCTGGCATGGGACAGAAGAGCGAGCACCGTCCTGTTTGTTGATATAATACATTGCTGTCGTGTTGTCTGTTGGCACCGAGATCCCCTTCTGTCTCAGGTGAGACAGAAACACTTGCTGGGCCAGTCTGACCACCCTGAGCTCCCTGACATTTACAGATGAGAGCGCTCAGCAGGAGTTCACGTAACTTGTGTCCTGAGAGTCGAAGGATGGGTGCTCCAATCTGTGTCTGATGCACTCATGACCAGCTGCACCGACGGGCTCTAGAGGGTGGGGAACCAGTGCAGGTGTTCTTGTCAGCCCGGATGTCTTGAAGCCCGCAGGCTAGGCTCCAATGCCCCGGTGCAAATGGAATCAGCACCCGGTGATGCCATCAGCTCAATGAGATTTTGAGCTGTGGCAAAAGTTTCAGGACTTGGTGGCTGCCAGACCTCCTCTATCACTACATTCGGCACCAGACTTCCTCTGTGCGTTGTGCTCAACTGGTGCCTAGTTGGCACGGGAGCATCCAGAGGTGGGGTTGCTGGCCAGTGCCCTTCCAAATGACACATTTTGTGGCTATGCTTCGAAGGGACCTGCCCCTGTGTTGGCTCTTCTTCCTCGGCACCAGAGATTGAAATCAGGGTGAGGTCATTGTTGTCATTGTCTCCTCAGTTGGTCTCGGAGCCAATGAAGGTTCATGCACCAAAGCTGGTGCACTCCACACCGTCGGTGCCGGGCCCGGTGCTGCTGGTTGCAGAGCAGACATCATCAGAATAGGCTTCAATCTGTAATCATGCTCCTGCTTGCTTCTTGATTTGAAGCTCCTGCGAATTTGGCTACTGTCTATGTGATGGAACTCCCCAAGACCAGGAGCGGCCCAAGGCCAGCTGCTGCAGCTGGCACCCCTGGCAGAAGGTGCAATCGGCACCCCCGCCTGCACCGCCGTCAATACACCTTATGACATCATCATCGGGCGCCTGGGCCGGCGGCGCCCTAGGCAACTGCCTAGTTTGCCTAGGCTTATGGGCCGCCCCTGTCCTAGACACTTTAAGCACGAGTCATGCCAGTCTCCGCAGGGCACTTAACGTGTGGCTTGAATCCATGGGGCCCAGGCATCCCCTCCCCAGGAGGGAAGCGACAAAGGGGGAAAACTCCCCTACAAACAACTATCAACTATTAACTACTGTTTACACTTGGGCTATGTCTACATTGCGAGTTTTTACAGCAGAGAATAAGCTAATGAGGGACTCATTAGCATGAATTGTGATATCATTAGCATGTTTTCTGCCAATTCTTTTTGTGCAAATGGTTTTTGCGCAAAAAGAAGCAGTGTAGGCCCCTCTGTTTTGTGCAAAAAACCCCTTTTGCGCAAAAAGAATCGGCAGAAAATATGCTAATGATGTCACGACTCATGCTAATGAGTCCCTAATTAGCATATTTTCTGCCACAAAAACTTGCAGTGTAGTCAAAGCCTAACAAACAACTTCAACTAACACAAACACTGTACAAAGAGCTAAGGGTCAGACTATCAGTAAAGTCAAGCGCTCAGAAGGAACTAAGGGAGTGGAGGGCCAGCACCGGTATAGCAGCGTCACTTCAGGGGGCTCCCTTCTGGTCCAATGGATACTGCTAAGGGAAAAAGCTTAATCCATGCACATGGCGTGCGTACACCTAACTGGAATGGACATGAGCAAGCACTCAAAGAAGAACGAGAAAGCTCCAACCCCACCTGGAAACAGTGTTAAATTATTTATCATTGGCTTTTCTCACCATTGCATCTGAACTTTTCATAAACATTAATGAATAGAGCCCTGGGTGGATACAAAATTTGTACACGCATCTGCAAAAATGAGCTGCAGATGTGGATACCTGTGAATATAAAGTGGATATTCACAAATTAGCAGGTTTCTAGATACAACATTTGTATCTGCATCCATATACACACAAAAGAGCTGGGGTTATCCACATCCAAGGATGCAGATATCCATGGATATAAAGCAGATATCCATGGATTTGTAGGGCTCAATTAATACATTTATCTTCTTGGGGCAATAAGGAAGTATCCTCTGTATTAAAAGTGAGGAAACTGATCTACAGAGCTATTATTGGAGAGAATTTCACAGGTGCTGTGCACGCAGTTCCTACTGTCTTTTGAGGGAGTTTTTGAGTACTCACCTCCTCTGAAATTCCCACTTAACCATAGGACTTTCCCTGTCCTTGTTTGAAGTCTACAGAACCCACGAAGAACCTTGATGATTGTATTAAAACACTGTGTCCCAAAAAGTATTCCTTCAGCACTGGCGGCCCCAGCCACACAGCTGTGTAGGAGCCAATAAAGTCCAACAAAGTCCATGCGTATTTACAAATAAGTAATGGACGGGGGGGCATGAGGGATCCTCAACTTAGCCAAGGGCCCCTCAAGCACCACACTTTGGAACTTCAGGCACGGGGCTCTGGTGGGAACAGTCTCAATGACATTGAGAATAAAATGGATTGAGACGAAGAAAGGGCTGTTGTCTCAGCGCACAGACAAGTGTCTTTTGTGAGATTTTGCTTCTAGCCTGTACTCACCTCCTCATTGACCCGCTTACAGAAGATGGCAAGCAGGAAGGTAGCAGCAATGGGTGGGCCCAGGTAGCTGGTAATAGACTGTATATAGTCAAAGAGCTGCCCACTCTGAGCTGACTGCACAACAGGAATCCATGCGATGCTGACACCAATTAAAGCCAAGATAAATAACCTGTAAATAAAACCAGTAAATAATCTGTTAGCCACCTGTTTATAAACATCAATCAGAAACACAGAAATCACAGTCACTCAGCATTTTAACAACTCAGGGTATGTCTACACTACCCCGCTAATTCGAACTAGCGGGGTAATGTAGGCATACCACACTTGCAAATGAAGCCCGGGATTTGAATTTCCCGGGCTTCATTTGCATAAGCGGGGAGCTGCCATTTTTAAATCCCCGCTGGTTCGAACCCCGTGCAGCGTGGCTACACGGGGCTCGAACTAGGTAGTTCGGACTAGAATTCCTATTCCGAACTACCTAGTTCGAGCGTTCCACGAGCCGGAAAAAAGCGGCGGAAAGCCCGGGAAATTCAAATCCCGGGCTTCATTTGCAAGTGTGGTATGCCTACATTACCCTCCTAGTTCGAACTAGGAGGGTAGTGTAGACATACCCTCATTGTGCTATTCAACCAGCAATAAAACATCAGCCAAAATAACAGTGACCAGCCTTCAGCACTGGGGGAAAGAGAAACCAGCAATAAGCTCTCACCAGATCCATCAGCTCTCAGTCAGCCCAATGTGAGAACTCTGCCCAATGTCAATCACCTATGATAATAAGTCAGGCTATGTCTACACTACAGGGTGTACACTACAGGGAATGCGTCTGCTCTTCCGCAAAAAAAAAAAAAGCAGAAGAGCAGACGTGCTCTTTCAGAAGCCCTGTCTTCCTCCTCCCACGAGGAAGAAGGACTCTTCCAAAAGAGGAGGCTTTTCTGAAATTTGGCCCACTGTAGACAGGCCAAATTTCGGAAAAGCCTCTTCGGAAAAATTTGCATACCTTTTTCTGAAAGATCATGTAGACATAGCCTCAGCTCTAAACACAGCGATGAATAGACCAGCAGAGAGAGAAGAAAAGAGAAATCAGAAGCACAACTAGTGAATATTACCAATGCTGTAGCTTTGTCCAGCTAGAATCTTGGAATGACATTTAAATAGATCTCCTGTGATATCTGTTGGGAATAGATGCCTCAGATTTATTTTGGCACTTACCCCATGGAATATCCAGGGCACACATGGGATGAAGCTGTCGGGCCACAAGAGGTCAGTGCTGTACCACGTGCAGTCAGGGAAAGGCTATTCCTCAAGTCATTAAGGTGAACTCCGAAAGGAACACTTGTGCTGGCTCCCAGATGTAGTTGGTTGCTAATGGTGGGAAATGCGCAGTCCCACTTACCTCCCAGCCAGCATGAGCTCTTTCTCCGAGGCCCGGGTGCGTATTCTGGTGTAGATGTCCATGGTGAACAGTGTGCTAGCACTATTGAAAATGGAAGTCAGGGAGCTCATGAGAGAGGCCAGCATGACTGACAGCATCAGACCCCGCAATCCTGAAACACAGAAACACACCAGCTCAACTGGGCTGGGCCAGGCACTAAGGAAGCTGCGTGAGCGACATCTCTGAGTGCACGGTCTGCCCTCCCCGGCCCAGGGCATAACAACGTCATAGCACCCTGCTGGGGCAGTAGCAGGATGGGGCCTGCTATGTCAGGAAGCACAGCGTTTACAATACATATAGTACCCAGGCTGGGCTCTGAGGAGATCGACAAAGCCAGGCTGGAGTGGCCCCTCCACTCACCCCCTTTAAGTGGTTAACCGGTTAAACATAATCTTTAACTGGTTAACTCATTAAATGGGATTTTACATTGCTGGTCACAGTAACTTCTTTTATCCAAACTCCCTCCCCGACCTCAAACCCTCTGCTGCATCCCAGTCCCCTATCTCAAGCTGCCTTCTGTGCCCAAAGTCTGTCCCAGACCCTACCTCCCCCACCCCACCACCATGGAAAAATACAGCTCTTGACCACTTATCAAAATCCTGGCATGGCCCCTCATAAAAAAGTATTGCCCACCCGTGGTCTAGTGCTGTATTTTGTCAGGGCAACTTTCTGTTCCTTTGATACACAAATCTTTTTATTTTCAAGGGCAACTTAAAATTAGTTTCACTGGTCATCTTTCCCATTGCTTTCTGTTCTCATTTCTACAAAACCCTTCCCCATAGCAGCTCCGCCCCCACCCTGCCAGCATCACCATCTATAGTCTCTTCAAGGAAGAGCAGTATTTTCAGCAAGCACAGGAGTTCTCAAACCTTCCCTGCTGTACCCCTCCAAAATCTGCCAAGTGTACAAGCCAGTGTAAAGCATGTACATGGAGCTTGCCTCTCTCAGCTCCTCTTCCAGGAATGATGCTATAATGAGAGACTATTCCAGTGAGAAATGAGGGAAACTGAGGTCTGCACAAGCAATCCCCCTTATCTTAGCTGAGGCCCAAATCTCCACAATTCCATCACTTCTTAGTGGCCCCTTTGGAAACCACAGTCATACCATGAAGGCCCGTGATGCCTGCAGAAGTTTCTAATTTTTCTCATATGTGTGCAGTTTCTCTGCCCCGCCCAGTGAGTTTAACAAAGGAACTGCATATACATCCCTCAACAGAGAGATCCTGGAAAAAGCACCTACTTAGTAATTTGCAACTACTAGTCCAGATTTACCTCTCTCACAAGGATAAAGCCAGCACATCTCATTTGGCTTAAGTTTTTTTGCAAATAAATAAGATTGTTAAGGCTGGTCTGGATCTGCAGTCACACTGATCAAAACGTACGGCATGTACAGGAATACACTGTGTGTGCTGGAATGATCTAGGGCCTACAAGAGATGAGCCCTGACACTCCAGAAAGCGCTGTAGTAGTTTAGTGATGTCAAATCAGGATCAGGGAAGAAGATGGGGGAGGACCCAGCTCCACGTTCCCAAAGGGGGCCAGGCCTCAGGCAGAAGGGTTGGGGCCAGGGGCAGCTAGCCCTCAGCGCCACCCAGAGAATGCCATGCTGCACACCCCAACCGTTAGAGCCACCCAGAATGCACCGCACAATGCATTTTGAATTGCTACTGCTCCCTTTAACTACCCCCCTCTTGGCAGGCCCAATCAGGACTAAATCAAAATGCCAGTCCCCAAGTTCTGGTAGCAGAATTCCTGGGAAATCTCTCTCACACAACAACCAGCTTCTGTTTATTTGCTGTCCATGTCTTTCCCATAAAGACTCAGAGCTAGTGTCTTACCATTCGGCATAAGGTCCACTACCAGTTTTGGATAAGCAATGTTTGAGCAGCCAACTTGGGTGCCACAGTAGCTCTCACAGATTGAAGGCACGACACAAGCCACCATATCTGAGAAAAGGGTAACAAGACTGGGTTACATGGGGTCATAGCAAGAAGTTACTCTGAAATCAAGAGAAATTTCCAAACTCAGGCTGGGTTCTCTTCCCCGCCCCCCTCCACTACCAGTTTTGGATAAGCAATGTTTGAGCAGCCAACTTGGGTGCCACAGTAGCTCTCACAGATTGAAGGCACGACACAAGCCACCATATCTGAGAAAAGGGTAACAAGACTGGGTTACATGGGGTCATAGCAAGAAGTTACTCTGAAATCAAGAGAAATTTCCAAACTCAGGCTGGGTTCTCTTCCCCGCCCCCCCCCCCTGAGATCCC